TTGACATGCATACTCTGGGAGGATCCTTATAGCATATCCCACCTGCCAAAATCAAATTTTTTTTTTTAAGCAATTGTTAGACGGGGTACTTACAAAAATACCCTTAAAATTAGGGATGCTTTGAAAAATCATATGAAACGTTTTTAGGAAGTAAAAAATACTGTCTAAAATGAAAAAGTGACACAATGTCACTTTTTTATAAAAATTGTCACTTTTTTACTTTTTTTAAAAAAGTGACATAAACTCAAAAAAAGTGACTCTCAAAAAGTGATACAAATTCAAAAAAGTTACACAAACTCAAAAAAAAGTGACAAATATCAAAGTAATACCATTCATTTGTGCAGCACCAGTAATCATGTTCTTAAAATAATCAGCACGTCCAGGCCAATCCACATGCTGATTATGTTAGGAAAATATAACATATTATTTTATTTTTTTTATCTTCTTAAAAAGTGGCAAAAACTTAAAAGGTAACAAAAACTTCAAAAAGGTGACAAATTTTTAAAAGTGACACAATGTCACTTTTATAAAATTGACGAGTAACTTTGACATCCCTAAATGGTAATNATGCATAAAATTAAGTAAGTGACAGTTTGACACAATCTCACTTTTATAAACCCTCGTTTGTTATTCTAAGCAGCAAAATTAATCAGTAATTTAGTAAAAATTTACCTCTCCAGCATTAGCCACAATAGAAAACAAAACGAAAACAATAATCTACAGCAATTTAGGAACTAACAAAATTCCAACATAAGAGGCCTTAACCCAAGCGACCAAAGCTATCAATTTTAGAACCATCAATGCACAGCAATCAATAATTGAAAAAAAAAAAAGGGCAAAAACAATCCATAACACCAGTAATCAAAACCAACATATGAACAACAATCAAAACCAACAACCAAAAAACAGAATCAAAAGTCCACAACAACAACATTCAAAACAACAATGAACGACAACTTCTTCTTGATTCTCCAATGTAATAATTGAAGAAAGATTTTGAATTTCTTGGTGGATGATTTGGGTTTTTGGTTGAAGTGTTGATTCCTCACCCACATCTAGTTTACGTAAAATACAGACTTTATCAAACGAAAAAACCATATTACTTTTTTGAATATATAATATTTATGAATTTGTACCCCACGTCAACATGAAATTTGAAGATTTGGAATTCAAGTCTATAGCTTTCTTTTGGTTAGAAACAATGCTAGGTTCTGTTCACCGGAGGAGCAGAGGAAGAAATCGGCTTAGGGGAGATGACTTTGGTGATAGAGCCATCAAGGGCATATTTCCTAGGCATGCCCCTCTTCTTCTTAACAGTGGTGAGCTACCTCCTCCTTGCTGTTCACTCCCTCGATCTAGATTAAGGACGTGTTTTGGTACTGGTTCGACTTCAACCTCTTGTATCCCGAGATCGTGCCTCTAACGTACAACCTGATGCGCTCTCCTTGGCGACCTTTCACCATTTTCGATTGCTGCTTTTGGGAAGGACGACTGAGTGTAAGTGCGGAGAAGATGAAAACTAAAACCCTTGTTGAGGAGAGTGTTTATGCTAAATGAAGATTGAGATTTAGGTTTAGGACGTATTATTTACATGTTGAATTGTTTAATGGGGAAATTAGGCTCCTTACTCTAAAAAGTGAACAAATTAGATTAATACACTCGAACAAATTAAAACTTATAATGACCGTAATAATTACATCCTAAAATCTCCCAACCCACACCCCCCCAAAAACCAGCCGATCACAAAGAGAAATCTTATCTACTATGTCTATATGTTCTAATCTCTGGTTTGAGCCCATTGATGAAGTGGCCTTCCATGATGGCGTCGAAGATGTCTGCTACGGAGAAGACAAAGATATTCCTGCACGGCTTCGTAACGTTGGAGGTTGTGGGTTTAGACATGGAAGATGATAGAGATCCGATTTTTGATGATGCGGTGGGTAAATCATGGAGAATTTTGGGGGATTTGGATGCTTTTGTTAACTGTTATTCCTCAGAAGATAAACGATGATTTTTGGGA